CAGAGCGACATAAATATATACTATATTGAATAAAAAAGAATGTATTAATGCGAGTGGACTAGACAGTGTTGAATGCAACAAACGGTATTCGGCATTTTATTTCTGAGGCACGATTGTATGAATGTAATGGGTATTTTAGATGTATTATATACCTTATTGCAAGCCAATGTTTGGAATACTAAAAATCCCCTCAAAGCAACAGATTAATTCAAGCAGCTGTGAAGCAAATGAACGCGTAACAACCCAGCTATTGCACACATTTTCACTATCTTAGCTACTCTGTAGCTTTCTAGCTATGAAGCCGGAATCTCTATATTTCGAAGCCAACAGACGATGGAGAACTTCGCCTCGTAACCATTGGCAATATTGCAGTACCTTTCCTTTGTTTCAGACGTTTCCTAATCGTGAAACCTAAAACGAAGCGCGGTGAATGAACTCTTTTTTTTTTTCTTCCCGAAAGCAGCAACGCTCGTTCGCTCACCTCTCCCCACGCACGACAGACCACGTGCGTAGAAATCGCACACCGTTTCATTGCCAGCTCAACAAATACGGAGGGAACACGATGCTGTATCTACTCGCGGCCAGCCTAACGGCCCTCCGGCGCAGACAGAGCGCAGACACGCGATCAGAGAAATCCTCTGGTCCGTTACGAGCGTGGTGGCAGCTTATTTCCTGCATCCGTTGCCGCCGCGGTTTCCCCATCATTTGCCTGCTCGGTCGTGACTGCCCGCCGCCGCCGCCACTGCGCACAGCCACGAGGACGGGCAGAGAACACGCTCAAACACACACAAGGCTCTGCTTGCTGCGGGATTCCGTTTGTCCCGGCGTTTGAGGGTCCTCCCGCCAGCAGCAGCGAAGGAGAACAAGCAAGAAGAACCATTTTCTCCAGTTCAAGTAGCGTCCGCCACGCTCGATGGAGGAAAGACGACGGTTCCGCTGGCTGCCCGTTTCGGACGGTACCGCTAATTGAGCGGCCACGAGGAGGGCCCTCCTCTATCTGGGTCAGCGGCAGTTCTTCTGGGAGGGTCTCCCTCCTGATGGTCCTCGGTCGGGGCCCGTCCCGAGCGCCGCTCGTCGCCGCGATGGGCCGATGATTAGTGGGCATTGTGGCGACGCCGGGTATCCGCACGGTGAGGTCGCTTCTCCCTCGTCGGAATTGGTCCGGCTCGCGGTGGTTGCGTCTAAATGCCCGCGAGATCGGCGTCCGAAGGGTTCGCATGGATGTAGTGCCCCGGCATCGCTTAAACTGAAGTGGGCCATTCAGCCGCACAAAATTGCTCTCCCTTCCTTTTTTTTTTTTTTTTTGGGGGGGGGGGGGGGGGGGGAGGGAAGGAGGACGGACGGAAAATACCCAACGTTATGGTCAGACAAAAAAAAATGTCTCCGGAATTAGATCTCCTGAGAGAGCTTTCACCACAGAAGTTGGCCTTCCATGCTTCGTATATGGAGATGCATACATACACAGTCAAGGTGTGGATGTATCGATTGTCTCCCACGCCGCAAAAGTTTGAGTTAATTTTTGTTTGTCAACTGTGTGTTTCTTTTTTCTTTGATGAGTGTGTAATTTTTTAATTATCCTACCATGGAGCACTTAAGGGAAATAATATATGAGCAATCACTGCCAGTGAGTATAGCCCCTCACCATGATTTACATGCGAGTCTCACCGAAACAATGTGACCTTTCAAGATTGCGTTTTTATACGCACAGAGACTCTAGGTAACGTTTTTTTTTGTTTTTGTTTTTGCGACAGCAGGTATTGTTTGTTGAAGATTCAAAGTCCCATCATGACGGGTTCGAATACGTCTGTGAGTACTCCAGAAAAAAAGAGCAGCCCCGTGTTTTTTCTTACTTAACTTGGCTGGTGCTGTCGAATAGAGTGTGCATACATAATCTCAGAATAATCACATAGCAATCCACTTTTTTTATAATATGATAGCGCCAACCCCCCCCCCCCCCCACCCCCCCTCCGTACACCCCCTTCGCTTTCCAGAACAAAGTCCTTTCTTATATTTAACGCGCAAGTAGTCAAGTCAATAACTGATTAACTTTCCAAGTACTGCGTTCTTGACTCCTTCGACAGGTTGGAAGAGTTTCCTTATCCGCACTTCATAGCGTACTGACAACTATTATGCAACATCATTGGAACGAGCCGATGTAATGTGTTTCATTCGCTGCCTTACAGATTCTCACATTTGACGGCGATTCTATGAATCCTTGTCTACAACTGCATTTACCCGCAGTCACTGAAGCTTTAAGAAACTCGAGACGACCCGAGTCAGGTGCGTCTCACGACAGCTCCGCAGCCACTGAGATGGCGACCGATAAGATAAGGAATTGGAGAGTCCGTGAACATGATCCGAAGAGCAAGTTGTCAGCTTCTTGTGCAGGAGTTACGATTACGTCAGAACGACGCCGAGCTATGATTGGCTTTGATTGAAAGGACTGTGGGCGGACCTCAATGCTAGATGCCTCAAAGTCTACCTACTATTTCTTTTTTCAGTCATCCAATAAGAGCTCGGCGTTTTGACATCATCGCAGCCCCTGTGCAAGAAGCAGACGAACTTGCGCTCCGTATAGGCAACGCCCTACGCGCGGTTCGGACGTCACGTCGCTGCGTTGGCGCTGTTGTCAGCAGAGCACATGCGCAGACGCTTCACTTCGCGCAAATCTGGTTTCTGCGCGCGCGTAGTGCCCACGCCTGATGCGGGCAAACGCTGACTTGTTTGGAAAACAGCCCGTTGGTCTATAGCCGCATCTCTCCTGCAGAAGGAATATAAAAGACGCAAGGCATGGTCCTTCCACGTTACTCCCGAAACTTTATCCCGGGGTTGAACCGATGGACGTGCACTACTACGTGCATTGAAAAAAAAAAGAAAAAGGCTCTTTTAAGTCCATTAGAAGAGAAAGAAGGGAAAAAAACGTAATGCATTTCGTACCTGTAGATTTGGAAAACATGAGTCACAGAGAGGCGCAAAAAGCCCGCCTTTGGAGCGAGACAGCCTCCCGAACTGTCATTTCTTTTGAGTTCAGCCGCCGCAGGTCGTTATCTCATTTTGCACGACACAAAGCCATCGCGTGCGTTCGAGACTCAAGATATTTTCTCTATTTCGTTTCGAGAAGGGTTAGGGGGGAAAAAAAAATAGAAACCGCGTTGTCAATTTTTCGCGACTGGGCGTCTCCTCGCTCGGTGCGACTCCGTATCACTCACGCCTAGAAACCCGGGGAACGTGGAGCGGGGTGTCTTCCGGAGGCGCTGCGTCCTTTACGCTTTCCGACGTCTTGTGTGCCCGAATTTTTAATCGCAGTTACCCGATGCGCCGCGTTTACATTTTGGTTCCTAGAGAGTCGCGCAGACATTCATTTCACGGTAGGGGGGTAAAATATCGCGTAAACGGTACGATAAATAGGTCCCTGACTTATAAAAAGAAAAGCCCTGTTCGTGCTTTTGTATTAAAAAAGAACTGCCTGCGACCCTTTTGATTCCAACTGCAAATCCCATATATCAGCGATCGAAATTGTAAAGCTGCACGTAAACGGCACAAATATCGGTTATCTGACATCGGCCTTACCGAGAATCCCTTTTTAAAGTTTTACGTTTTTTAAACGAGTTAAAAAAATGACAAAAAAGGGGTAGAAAAAAATTTACAAACGGCGGCCTTCTTTGCCTTCACAAAAGTAACGTCAGTCAGCTATAAATGGCTTTCACGCTTCTCTCATTTTACAGCTTTATAACTTTCTTCTCTCTTGGCAGCGCTTGACCTGTACTCTAATTAAACAACAAAAAAAAAAACTAAATGTATACTATAAGAAACCATCTTCTACGCTCGTATAGTAACCGGCTTTACTAGAAAGTAAGTTATGGTTCTTGCGCATAATCCGACCACCTGTCCCAGTGGCATAGTCGAAACGGAAATTTATCACGCCGTCCAGGAGGTGTTTTCAAGACCGGTAACTGGTAGCACGATCGAGCCGCATTTCTTTCGCGAACATATAAAGTCCGCGCCGCCGAAAGAAACAAGGTGTCGACAAGAGCACGTGGCCCTTGTACAGTTTATACCACATGCCACCGACAGGTCCAAAAAAGCAAAGAGTTTTTTTGTTTTTTTTCGGATGAGCGGCTTCTATCATCTTCAGCACGAGCTCGCTGCCTTCCGCCGTTGCTTTGGTTGCGCGTGCACGCTCACAACTCACGAGACACCGAAGCGTTATCGAAGCGAGAAAAGGTCGCACTGGAGGCGGTACAACTGAAAGACCCCCCTGCCGTTTTGATCCTGCAAGTGACCGCACGTACGTTGCAGTCAACTGTTTCACAGGTTGCGTCGGTTCTTGTAATCGCTTCATATTACAGATTAGCGAGCCTTCTCACTCAGTTCTGGGGAGGGAAAACGAGCAAAAATGAGAGACATTCGTCACGTCTTGGATTATTCTCACGTCAAGGGAATGATCCCTTGTCACATTGGCCGCGTTTTGATCTACTGTGGTCTCCATCCCTGCCTTTCTTCTGAGTAAAGGCACGTCGCCCTTGTACGAAAAACTTCTTATTCCGTAACAGTGCCGTGCAAGTCTCACGCGTAAACAATAAAACTCTTGGGAACCTTTTTTTTTTTTTTTTTTTTTTTTACATCGCATTTGTTTTAGGATACCCCTTTTTAATGTCACGCGTTTTTCCCCGTGCCTTCCACAACACGCCACAAAACTCTCGTGACAGAATTCAGGATGTACAGTGTGCATCGATATGAAAGACCCATCCGTCAATGCAGCTTTAGACGGCTGGGCAAGATTCGCCTTGGCAAGGCTCACGTTGCTTGGGGTGAGGAAATCATTAAACCTTCGTTCTATTTTTTCTCTTAAAACAAAGTGCCCCCGGAAATACGTGCTTCGCACTGCCGCATAAACCGTCTAGTTGAACGGGTCTTTCACATGGTTGGAGAAAGTACAGCATTCATGCACGACGGGACGATGATGGGTCTCGAGAGGAACGATCACGAAGAGCACTTACCTTCAGCGTGTTGACGGGAGCAGGACGCGCTGACCACGCCAGGTATCCACAGTGGTCATGGCCGCGGCTCGCATGGCGCCAGTGCTGGCTCTTGCGCTTCATCGGCGTCGAGAAGCGCGTCCCAAATGCACCGCACGCGTCCCCACGAGGAAAGGAAAAGAAAAACAAACGCACACACTAGCCAGATGAAGAACCACCCCCGTCGATCAGATCAGCTCTATACTCGGCCCAATCCCGGGGAAGACGTGATCGCGCGAGTTCAGCAGCCGCATCTCAGCCTCCTCACCAAACACACGACTTTCAGAAAAGCCTGCGAGCTCCTCCGCGAGAGTGGATGAAAGTGAACGGTGGCAGTTCGAAGATGACAACTCTGAAGACGTGTGGAGGGACCTACAAAGTGTTCGGCGGAGTCTGGCACGGACGTCTTGGGGTCGGGCACTACGAGGGGGCACTCTTTGCGCGCGGGCAGATCTCTCTGGGTCCCGTTACAAGGCCCGAGGCACGGGATGACTACGGCAGCAGCAGCGGCAGCAGCGGCGGCCGCGAGTCAGATGTGCGCGGAGCATTTTGAAGTCTGTCGGGGATGGGGCCCGGTCGCCGGATTCTTCTGGCGCTGCTCTGCTGCACTCCCCACCAGCGCCCTCCTTCTCTCCCGTGAGCCTCCCTCCTCTCTCGGCCGTCGTTTGCAACGCTTCCGAATGCTTGCGGAGAGAGAAGACGGGCGGCGAGGAGGCTAAAGAACACACACGCGAACGCCAGTGGGTTCAAAAACGAAGTGAATATCATCTTCTGATCTACTTGCCCTTCCAGCGCGGGCCGCCGATGCCTTTTTGAGCACTGCCTCGGGGGGAGACAGTTCCCTCGTCCTCACGGGGCAAAATCCCTCTCCTATATTGTGCTCTCTTTATGTGGCGTTCTCTCCTTCCCTTCTGTTTCTCACTTTTGGCGGCGTTTCAGCGGCACACTTCAAGCGCTGTCAGCAGGTAGAATGCCTGAGTCACTCGAAGGAGAGCCGGCAGTACGTGCGACCTGGCGGAGGCGTTCTCTCGCTCCTTGCAATAAAACGCCCCAATCGTCGTTGTTGTTGTTGTTGTTGTTGTTTGATTTGTTTTTTGTTTTGTTAGCGAAATGATTTAGGTGTTGTTCAGTGTGCCGCTCCGGGGGCCCCGAGGCCTAAATGTCAAGTTCGCTCTTTTCCCATCATCGCTGTTGTGAGCAGCTTTATGGCCGCGCGTAATTCTAGGGTTCCCTCCTCGCGATTTAGGAGCTGGCATGGCGCCTGTTCCGATGATGCCCTCCTGACATCGATGTGGGTGGCGGAGGGGCAATTTGTTCCGATGGGGGAGGCAATGCTTTTTGCCGTTCTTGACGCTTCTTTCAGACTCGAGGATTCAAAAGACTGGCATAATGGTCCCCCAAACTCTGTGACGCGGTAAAGCATGCCGGCTCCGGCAGTAAAGCTAGCCAAATAAACCAACCTACAACGAAAAGGATGCTATCGGATTTAAAACTGCACCACGCGAACAGACTGCATCAACTCAGAGATGTAATGAAGAAAAAGGGACGCAGTAATCGTCGAAGAAGTCCTCTATCTGTAATACAGTGGGCAAGTGCAGACCAGTACGGGGCGAGATCATAGGCTAGGGACCGCACCTACGAAGTATATGCCACACACAAAATTCTTGCCAGTTATCATCATCATGCCATTCGGAGCCACCATATGGGTGGTTCTTTTTTTAGCATCTTCCAGCTGTGGACGAGGTGCATCTGCATTTAACTTGGTTCTCATGATATGAGGACAAGGTATGTGTGCACTCAATGGCTTGATGTTTAGTTTTTGTTGAAAGAAGAAAAGAAATACAGCCGCGAAATTTTGCAAAAGGAAATGTCAGCAATGAAGTCCCAAGACTCGTCACTCAAGCAGTGAGCTGGACCATCCAGGTCAGTTAACGATCTTTATCGATAACGTTGTGTGTAGAATTCGTACTGCACTTGCAGCACGTTATCCTATTTTAGATCTACGACTCCCACTTTGCCGGGACATTTGTCTCTCGGGCGAAGCTACTAGTACGAACCTCCCAATATGGCGAAAATTTGATAATTGATCATAAGTGCACCAGATGGCGATTTTCTTTTTGCATACTGTCTAAGGCGCGATATTTTAACGTTTACATATTCCACGCATAAAGTCTTCTCAGTTCAGCATGCGCAGGTTTCCCGCCTGGAAAAGCGAGCAGGAGCTTCTCAGCCAGTCCCTGGAAGAAATCTTCTCGTGGAGTGAGAAATGGGGTATCGTAATTCATTTTGATAAAACTGTCTCTTGCAGCATTACAAATAAGAAAAATATGTTAGATTTGCGCTATTCTATAGGCTGCATCAAACTTAGTAAGGTAGAAGAATTTAGGTATTGGGGGTTATTTTAGCTATTACCCAGCACTGGTCATGTGGATTACATATGCGCCAAGGCTTTTTAGAAGTTAGACATTATTTGGAGGCATCTTAGACATGCAAATAGAGATGTTCGATTAGCTGCATATAAATATTATGTACGTCCAATATTGGAATACGCGGGGTGCGTCAAAAAGTCAAATTGGACGTTTGAGTGACTTACACAGCGTAAGGTTGGTCTGCCAGTAGGGGCGACACTGGTTTACACTGTAGATGAGCAATTTAGCCGGTGCAGTACAACCGCTAGCCTGGGGTCTTTAAGGGCACAGGGTAAGTCCTATACTCCCCATGCATTTGAGGCCATGTTGAGGAACATTTTTCTCGGTGACTATTAGGAGTATTCCTGTCATGTAAATATCATTTTGTTCGAAATATTGTGTTTTATCCACTGAACTAGAATTATTTGAACCACTCTAAAATAAGTTTTCTTTTATATTTTTTTATCCTAGTACTGAAATTTTAGTTGTTTTCATCTATTAAAAACTTCGTAACTCAAAAACTGCTAGGTGCACATTTTTAATTTTAGTTCAGTATTTTTCAACACCCATGTATGTGGTAGGAATAAAAAATCAACCCTCTATAATGTCAGGTTAAGGAAAAAATGGTACCTATGTACTAAAAAACACTGTTTTGAGATAATTGAGTTTAAAGTAAAAAAACTGGTGAATAACGAATTTCTATTGCCACCAACAGCCTCAGAGTCATTTTTTTCAATAGCCGCCAGCTTGAAAGGCATTGCTAAAGTCATATCTTCGCCTTTAGGCTTATCGCCTTGCTTGCCGGGCCTCTTTTGTGACCTGCCATGTCGCTTGGCCCGTAAAGTATATTAGAGTGACGTCAACTTCCCTCGGCCACTTGATGGCTTTCCACACAGGGTTCCATCCACAAAACTTCAAAACATTGGCTTCTGCAATGCTGCCACCATTGAATAAAGGAACAGCATTCAATGGCGCCATTTTGTCGTTACGAAAACACAAACGATTGAATGTACACACGGTACACGCCTGGGAAAAACGTGCACAGCGTCTCGTGATTGTCTTGGTTGAAAAAAAGCTATATAATAGTTGCGAAATAATTTTTTGAGATTATCTGCTACTGGACAAGCTTTTAGGTCTTGTGTTGATTTTGTTTTGTTGGAGAATTCATCGATAAACAGGGAGTGTATCCCAAAAGGAGGCGTGGTCACCTGCTACTTGCTTTCTGAAGAAGTGATTTTCAGCCCGAAATATAGCTTTCTAAAAACACTGGGACAATGGAAAATGTGCAGAAAGAACTAAACTTTTCAAATTGCGAAAAAAACTAAAATCAAATTTTTTTTCAATTTTACCTTACCCTGTGCCCTTAACGTGCACCACGCAGTAGTGATACACAACCGCACGCCGGTACGATGCTCATCCAGATCGAAACGGGCAGGGGTGGGGCTCGAACCCAGGATCCCTGGGTTCTGCAGCGCGAGCTTTCGCTCCACGCGCGTCGAGCTGGGTGTGCGCTTCAGCCCACTCGGCCACCGTTCCCCCCACGCGGGCTGCGTATGGGTGTGTAGATTAAGGAGAGTTGTGCGCTATGGCTAATGGCTTGATAAAGATTAATCCTGAATTGTACATTGTGCCTTCAACATCGCGCTCCTAAAGAACGAGCAATAGTAAAGCAATTTCACCCTAGCAGTACAGAAATGATGTATTTATATACTCTTTCTTTGATCGAACTATTATTGAGTGGAACACTCTGCCAGAGCAAGTTCTAAATTGTTGCAGTACTGAATTTGAAGCACAGCTAAATTAATTATTTAGTTAAGTTCTGCAAGGGGGGGGGGGGGGGGGGGGAATGGAAATGTATATCTTGAGCATGCGTGGATGGGTAGCCAACCAACCTGCGCTCGCTTCGCGCGAGAGTGCATGATAGAGTTTCTTGTTTTCTGTGCGTTGTGTTTTTTTTTTTTTCCTTCTGCGTAGACCGACAGGTCCAAAATATTTCAAATAAATAAATAAAAGCATGCGCCAGGGGTACAAATGTTGAATATGACTGGCTATAGTGAGGGCCATCTTACTTCTTCATCTTTCCGGGGTTTAGGCAGTACTGGCACCAAACCCCTTTTCATGACGACGAGGCTAAAATGGCTTTGGAATGAACAATCCCAACCTTTGCGGAGTTTCGATCTAGATGAGCATCGTACAGATTGACGGTAATCAATTACTACTGTGCAAAGCAAAAAAAAAAAGGAAATCGTGATTATTTTTAAAAATTATATTAATCAAGCGTTTTTTTATCAAAGTTAAATGATCGGAATAAGATTATTATAATATAAATAAGTGTAGCTAGAAAACAGTGATTTTTTACCAGTTTATGTGTTCTTAAACAGGCCATATCGATTGATCGATTTGTGCGATCACTGTTAACAATGAAGAAGAAAAGAATTACAGTAAATGTAAAGTACACTTTAATTAACAACTTTTTTATGTGTAATTCTTGTCATATTACATCAAAAATACCTCGATTGTGTCGAGCTAAAACGCTATATCTCAAGTTAAAGAGCTCTATTTGCTTTTTCTTTCGCGTTATGACCTGATTGTACTAGAACACTAACTTTCTCTTCTGCAGCAGATACCAGACGCCAGACACAACGCAATTATTACTTTGTAATATGCATTTAACGAACAGCTCTGCCAGTTTTATAGGCAATGTCTTCTAAAGAAAAAAACAGTCATGCGGAATGTGTCAGTGTACAAGAGTGCAAAAAAACAACTAATTTTTGGTTCCTGCATTCAAATACATTGTCTTAGGTGCAGTCTCGTTCGTGATATCCTTCAGTGGTTTCAATAAAGATTTTCTCTCCCCTTTCTTTTTAGTTGGTTACAAATAAAGAATGTTGTGAACAAGCCCAGTGAGAGCACGACGAAAGACAACAACCAAGTGCCTCCCGCACTTGGTTGTTGTCTTTCGTCGTGCTCTCACTGGGCTTGTTCACAAGACGCCAGCGCGTTTTCGTAGATAGAAAAGCTCGCTCTAGAGGCGCAACTTCGAACAGATTCTTAACCTGTCACCGATTATAGTAGTCTAG